TAAACGTTCCATATACCTCTGATTAGGGGGGAATCCATCCCATCCTATCTGTCTCTGCATCATTTTCGAACTTTTGCCTTATTTTTCGCTTTTTGGCATATCTGGGTGTGTGCATAAAGCTCCAATCTTCTCTGCTCTGTCCATTATCAGATAGAACAAGCCTATAGACTGTGAAGCTCGCCTGCATTGCCTCAGTTTGCTGTTGCCTAGAGCCTCTCTCAGCCTGCGGTGTTTGGGGAGCTTAAGTCACTTTGTTGACTCATATACAAGCCCTATTAACCAACACTGTCTCGAGGCGATTTCTCTGTTAATATCAGTGTGGTATTGAAAGGGGAACACAGGCGTAACCCTGTAGCAGCACTAGGAAGCCTTAGCACCCTCCTGGATCGCTTTTGGACGCTTTTTGGACCCTATTTGGACCTATCCTTGCACTTTCTGACCCTCTCCATATCCTCTCTCTACCGCCTCACCATCTTATCTGCTCGCCTCCTACTGTTTCCCATCGCCTTTGCCACTTTTCTATCGCCTATAGCCGTCTCCTACATCATTTATCTTTGCTCTATCGTCTTATACAACACCCATCATGTCTGACTCTGACCCAAAGTTCCATCCCTTGTCTGTCACTAACTACCCCCAGTGGAGTGGTGAAATGCAAGCTTGGTTGATGACCAAGGGACTGTGGAGGCTCGTCTCTGGCGCTGAAAAGTGTCCTGGGACTGACGCTGAAGCAATAGAGAAATGGGAGTTGAGAGCTGAAAAGGCTGCTGGTGCATTATACCTCAATGTCACCAAAGAGCAGCGCATCCATCTTGATGGCATCATTGATGATCCTGTCAAGATCTGGGAGAAACTGGCCATTGTGCACGTCTCTAAGAAGCCTGGGACGAGATTTAACGCCTATGACGACTTCTTCTCTATCAGAAAGAAGGAGGACGAGTCCCTGCAGTCTCTCATGACCAGAATTGACAAAGGCATGCATCAGATTCAAAATCTTTGTCCTACTGGCTTCTCATTGTCTGAATTGGACGATGAATTGACATGCATGGCCATGATTAGGGCGCTTCCTGATCAATATGCCCACTTCACTTCATCTCTACTACTTCTGGGCACCTTGGACAAGACCCAGCTCAGGGATGCTTTCCTTGCTGAAGAGGTCAATCGCCGTCGTCGTGCTGAAGTCGATTCTGCCTTGCATTCTTCGTCTACCACTGCCAATAGCACCTGTACCCATCCTAACTGCCATAATTGCAACCAATCCACCACCTCTACTCGCATTCAGTGTGATTTCTGTGGTTTACTTGGTCATACCCAGGATAAATGCCACAGATATGTTATCAGTCGCCAACAGGCGGTGGAGGGCGCTAAGAATCGCTACAAGCGTGGCAATAAGGCTCAGGCAGGCCCCAGCAACTCTCAGAATACCTCTCAGCAGCCCAAATCTTCGCCCAACAATGCCAATTCATCTACTGTGGTCACTGAATCAGCTGGAAATGCAAGTCTTCGTTCCATTCATCCCTCTGATCCTCATTGCCCTCTCCAACTTGATGCTGACATTGATTGGAATGCAGATACAGGTGCCACTTCTCATATGACACCTCATCGTCATTGGGTGCACCACTATACCCCATATCGTGTGCCAATCAAGCTGGCTGATCACACTGTCGTCTATTCAGCTGGTGTTGGTACTGTGGTGTTTAATCCTGTGATGAATGGCAAAGTGGCTAGGGCTGTGGAATCTCTAGAGTGC